CAATATCCGATCCCCCTGTAAAACAATACAGTTAAAATTAAAGCAGAATTAATATTCATAGGAGCAAACCCAGCTATATTTCTTAAAGCTTCTCCTGTTTTCTTACCCATGCAATAGCTCATAGCAAATTCTGCTGAATTTGAATAAACAATGATCTAAATTCATACACTCTTGAAAACAGAGTTTGGAGTATGCACATTTTAGATAATGATTGCTAATCATTCCTAATAATTAAAAATGAGCACAGACAAACCAATGCAAGTTCTGATACATCGTTATTTAAGGTAGAGGGCTTGAGGACAACTTGAATGAAAGCACTTCCCACCTGCTCCAAGTAACAACACTGGACCAAATTCTAAGAAGTATTGCTCTGGAATATGTAGTGAGTTCCTATCCTGATAGATCAGATTTTGCAAGGACTTTGAAACATCTTAATACTTACATGAATCCTTTAGCCCTAGTAAAGACTAGCACCTGCACTACCAAGTGTTCCTATTGGGTAGGCAAATGCTCTCTGTTTTGCAGAAAGGGAAACCAGGATGAGGGACTTGAGCTGAACAGAGCTATACTCAAGAAAAGGTGGATAAATTAAATGTCAGCTGAAGGCAGCTCTTTTGAATTCCACTGCCATAAGCACCAGTCGCTTCCTTCCAGTGTTAAACTGAAAGCAGTTCCGAGATATCTGTAATGGAGCTTTCAGGTACAATACAGCTATAGGGAACAGATGCCTTATTTTCACACAAGAGAGTTATGTTCATCCGGAGCTCTTGACAATACAATAGCTCACATTTCACAACTTGCAGTTCAATGGAGCAGAAGCCTTAAACTTGCAATTCAACTGTGTTATGACAAATAAAATCAGGCTCCCAGTTTAGGTTGCTGTGAGTAGAAGTTTGATGTGCATGTCTGCCCACAGCAGAAGTACAGCAAAACCTTTTCAGGTATACTAGTCTGTACAGGTTCCTAATATGTTGCTTTATATCTCTGCATCCTGTACAGAAAGACTCCAAGGATGTTTTGGGGCAAATTTTCAATCATCTTGTTACAGTAACAAGATTAAGTCTCATGAACAGTAAAGTTTTTCCTAGCTGTTATTATCTAATCACAGAGATTACATTCAAATAACACAGAATTTTATTGGTTAGCTTTGTATGGAAGCTCTCAGACAGAAACTTTGTTATCATCATATCAATAAGCCTTTTCACCAATAAAATCCATTAAGCTGCAACAGTTCATTCAATTATCCAAGAGATGAATCCACATTGCAAAAATGGAAACACTTTGACACCTGTACAGTCACATATAAGGCAGAAGACTCTGTCTGGAGCAGAAGACAGTCAAACACCAAAAGGTTGAGTTTGTCACAGCCCATGACAAACAAAGCATTAGAAATGAAGCTATTTCTTGATATCATCAGCTCATGTCAATCCAGTAAACCAGGATTTTAGGGATGATCATCATCTGAAAGAATGGTTGATTACCACCATGCCTTTGCTCTATCAGCAGCTAATAATGAACCACACTTGGAGGTTCACCTTCTCCAACTGCTCTTACAACGCACAAGAAAGTGTCATACAAAACATCCACTCAGCTGGTTTCAAATTGCTTGTTTGTTAAGTTAATAAACTGAAACTGGAAGCTAACTCTGCCAGTCTGCAGGAAGCATTTCCTTCAGAGTTTCTACCTAATTTGTTTACAGCAAGGTTAATCACCCGGGCAGGAGGTAGGACACGCTCACATTCAAGAGTTTTCCTTACTGTCTGGCCAGGAGAGGGCTCCATCTAGCCATGCCCAAAGGAGTTCTGCTTTCCCAGTTAGAAAGGTACAGCCAACAGCCCTCTAAGAAGAAGCTTAACAACAGACTTATTAGCTGTTGGGTTTCTGAATTTCAAGGACTCCTCAGGTGAGATCTCTATTTAATAGACTACCAGGAAGAGAGAGGACATATCTAAAGGTGTTTGCCCTGAGATAACTATTTACTGTGACGCTTAATCATCATGGAGTGCTGCAATACAGTCACCTGGAAATCATAGAAACATAGAAGAGCTAAGGTTGGGAAGGACCTTAAGATCATCTAGTTCCAACCCTCCTGCCATGGGCAGGGACACCTCAACACTAAACCATGTCATTAAATAGTATTCCACTGGCAGGAAAACATGACCAAAAGTCAACACAGTGAATTTAAAGTAAATGGAACTCATTAACTACTGATTTACAATTCACATAAATGGGTATGAATGTATTTGAGTATGAGTATGTATAGGTAAATGTATGTGCACTGAAGCATATGAGGATTCATCTCAATTTTGCTGTTAGCACTGTAAAAAGTATATCAACATGATACATTTGCATAGATTTTTCATAGCGTAAGTTTTTACTTAATAATGCTATCATTTTTCTTCTGCAAAACATTATTTTACATAGCTCTTTAGGAAATAAAATGCTGAGAAGGCAGAAGCTGCATTTTGTTGTTGGTCAAAACCAATTTTGTGGGCCAAGGGACAAAGCTTTTTCCCAGCTTTGACCTCTACCTAAAATAAGTTGCAACAATAAAGAAGAAATACCTCACAACTGGAGTGCTCTTACTCTTGAACTAGAATTCTTGTGGCCATAATCTTCCATGGAGATTATGAAGAATCTGATAGGGTAAGAGCAGCCACAGTTTATCGCCAACATGTTTTGCGGTAAAGATTTGATCCAAAGTCACTTAAAATGTATGAGAAATCAAAGAGGTTTTCCATCTATCTTCATCACAGGGTACTGTAATCCTGCTGCTACCCCCTTCTTACATCTGCAAAGCAACTTATTATTTGGGATTGTCAACATTTGGGAAGGCATGGGTTGTTCTATGGCCTAAATGTATTCCTTACTGAGGTGAAAAGCCCTGGTTTAGTAAAGAATGGCATTAGAAAAGATTTTGGGGGTGCACTAGGACAGATAATAGGCCTCATGTAAGGGTTATGGCTTTTATAAATAAATAAATGCATATATTTATTCACATAAACCAAGTTTATTGGAGGTAAACAATTCTTTTTTGTTCCCACTCTCTTTTCCATTCTTTCTACTGCTGACTCAAAAGGGAAAGATGCAATTATTTGTGCAAAATTGTCTGGTTCTGCTTGCATTGTTGCTTCAAAAGTATAAGCAGAGAATAGAAAGTGCTATTGGCATGGACTTCCATACCAGCACAAATTTCCGAGTTATTGAGAAATTGGTCCTTCAAAGCATGAAATGTCATTGTTATTTATCAGCAGTACAAACTATCCTGGGTATGGGAACAGGCTAAAATCCAAACTCTGTTTTAATTGCAGAAAAATTAGTAGCTGTCCATCATCCCCATTGTGGCAAACCTGGCCAACAGGCTTAGTCCAGAAACATCATTAGTCCCATGCCCAGGAAATACAGAGGTTCAGCCCTGAAGCCTGAAATGAATTAACTCTGAGGACTGTAAAAAAGGACAGAAAAAGGCTGGCTCATGCAGACCCATAAAAGCAGCATGCCTGGGACAAGCTAACATTGCACTGTCTGTGAGGGAAAACTCAGGTGGGCCATATGAGTTACTTGATGCCACCCAGTGGAAAAGGGAGAGCTGCTTCAGAATACAAACCGCAGCTATAAAACACCCCTTACATGCTGTCCTGTACAGAAATCAAGCAAAACACAGCATGCTGACTTAGGCTTAAATCTGGCTGTGTGGTTCACCCCAGATAGCTCCAGTTACGGACATGAAGTCCTGAGGAGGCAAAAAGCACTTCCAAATGCCAAAAAGGGACACAAAACCTGTGGGAAAGCACACAGTTTTCATGGGATGCTCAGCACACGCCTCTTGCTTGGCATGACAGCAATTTCTTTCTGTAGAGGTCTTTCTGCCTGGTAAGTAATATCACATAGCAATATCACTTATTGAGAGCAGATCAGCTGGGCTGCTACAACCATCAGGTGAAGCATTAGAATATATTCTTTAAGTGAGACTTGAAAACTTCTGTGATCTGCTGAATGGCACTGATTGCAGGGTCAGTTTATCATCATTATGCTGCACTGTGAAACAGACTGCTAATGTGCTATTTATATTTTGGACTGCTATTAAATTCAGTCAAGTTTTGGACAGCTCACCAAATTCAGATTTCAAACCTGTTAGATTTAATCACTTCAAAATATTTGACTATACCTTCTCAGCTGTATTTCAGTTAAAGGATTTATCTGCATGTATGAACAGTATAGCTTCATGTTATACATACATATATACACATACACTTCAGGGCTAACTTTAGTACCCAATAAAGCCTTTCATTATACTCCAAAAAAATAACACTTTTCATCAAATAAAGATCTGTTTTCCCTTTCAAAGAATACTGATAATACTGACTGGATTTCCTGCTGTCATATTAAAGTCAGTGGTTTCTCTTTAAAACAAGAAAAGGGACATTTGACTATGTCCCGCTTTTCATAAAACAGTGCAGGCTGTAGTACAGTTTATTTCCCTTATTTGTAAAAAGCTACAAGAACAAGCTTTCTCCAATCACAAAAAAAAAATTACTTATTTCCCACAAATGTAAAAATCAATCCCTCTAAATATGAGAAAAATCAAACTATTTCATAAGACAGAGAAACAGTAAGTTTGCTTTTTGGAATACTGTTCCTATATTTTCTTGAACTAGAAGGCCTCTTCATCTTTTCACTCCCTGCAAGCCCCTTGAGTTATCAGTCTTATGTTTGCTTTAAGGCTTCTCTTGCTGGTGGAAGTTGCAGGTGAAATTTCCTTAGGTTCCAGACAGATTTTGAGCACAAAAAGGGATGTTTTGGTATTCCAGTTTCTGGGAACAGAGTACTTGGTCCAGTGCAAATGAGAGGAAACCTGCAGAAAACTTCTGGAGAACTCTACAAGAGTTTCTAACATGACAACCTGCACTGCAGCCATTAGCACCATTACATTCCTGAATCCCAAGTTCTTCTGTAAGCTCCTTTTTGGTACAGCTATTCAGAAACACTCTCCCCTTCACCTCCTAAAAGTTCTCAGAGCTTCTCTTCAGCTGAAGTGTACTGGGGTTAACTGGGGTTAAAAGAGCAAATAGGTTATCACAACTGTGACAGTTGTACATAGGGCTTGCAAACTTGTTTTTTCCTCTGGGATGACAGTTCCCAGGAAAAAACATTTACCAGAATACATGTAAGCTTTCAAATATTTAGGGATTTTTGGATTTTGGGGGGAACTTTGAGCCAAAACTGCCACATAATCATGAAATATCCCATGAGGATCAATATGCTACAAGAATTGCCAATTTTATTTTTGTTGCTAAGACAGTTCACTTGCTATAATTGCAAATTGGAATATTAGTACTGCACACCATTCTGCTTTAGGTTTGACTAATCAGTATAAGAAGACAATTTTCACTTGATTATTGAAGAAATATGCCTTTCTGTCTGGGAAGAATCTGAAAAGGAAATAAATCAATGCCAGTGTGAGTTTTTTCTCTAGCTGCATCGCCATCTAGGAGCTAAGCAGACTAAAGCATCATTCTGTTTGCTGCATGGCTCATTGTGACAAACCAAAACCAAGAACACAACTCTTTAGAGCCACAGCTTCAGATGCAATACCCATATTCTATCATGACAACCTCCCCTACAGCATTACATGGCTTAACTCTACATGCTTGTTTCCATCTCTATGGCATTCAGCTTCCCTAAACTTCAAAGAAAGAGTTCTAGATGGAGTTTACCACAAAAATATCATAGAATCATCATGGAATCATAGAATGTTTGGCTTGGAAAGGACATTAAGATCATGCAGTTCCAACCCCACTGCCATCGGCAGGGACTCCTCACACTAGACCTTAGTGTCCATGTCCAAGTTATGTGTCTAGACCAAGTTATGGCTTGCCTAAGAGAAAAACAAGGAAACACAAAAAATCATAAACATAATTTACTACTTTGTTAGTGTGCAAAAGATTTGGCATACTTCCTCAAGAGTAAGAAGGATGCCTAGCTCTTAAATTTAATCTGCTCTATTGGGAACTCGCAACATCAGTTTTTCTCAAACACCTCAGTATTTATGCGCATTGATGCATTGTGGAAGCTGACAGTCAAAGCACAGTCAATGAATACCCATTTTTCGTAACTTTTATTTAACTAGACAATTATTACTGGAATGACAAGAAAACAAATAAACCTTTTGGAAAATCCTAAGTCATCTGCCATGAAACGATTATGTTAGTCCACACACTTATAATATTGTCAACTTCATCTCTGATGGAATACAGTCCAGTGGCAATGTTAACCTCCCAGTTATGATGGAGATAGATAGTCAGCTAACCCTGTTCTCTTCAGTATCAACTCTGCAAATACAGATCTCATTCCCCCACCGGAAACTTCAAATCAATAACATATTACAGTACAAATATACATCTTGTGCGTGTCACTCTAACAGAAAATAGAAAACATGAATGATATTTTGACATCATGCATTTACAGTGGAACTTTGATTAAAATAAATAAATTATATATAAGTAACCATAAAAGGCTATAGAACAGTGTAATTCAAGAGTATTCTGTAGAAAGAGACAGTATTTCCTAATAAAGTTAAAAAAAAAAAACCCAACAACCCAGACATGATGTAGGAACAAATTATGATATCAAGTGGTCTACAAATAGAAAATTCTGTGGAAATGTATAATGAGAGTAATGATCAATGTACTCAGTGTTCTAGTTAAAGTGGGCCATTTCACATAATGCTTTACAGTAAATATAGCCTTTATACACTATTATTTTTATTCCCTGACATACATGCACCCCTCAGGAGTGAAACTCTAAACCACCCAGACTCTTGACTTGGAAACAGCATAAATTTTTTATCTTGTGCTAGTGTGAATCTTAACAGAATCACAAATCCCTGACTAAAAAAATAAGAAAAAATACAAAGAATAATGGGAAAGGAAGGAAGAAATCAGTGAGATGCATTCAAAATACAAAAACATGATAATAAAAACCCTATGTAAAAGTCCAAGCACATTTAATTTGCCACTTTACAGCCCAGTTCTGTAATCTGTCAGACCCTTTGGCAACTCCTCATGTCACCTTTCACTTAAACAGGTTGTATAACGTCAACACTAACTTCGTTTCCCTTCATTTTACCCAGGTCGTTTATGACTATGCCAAACAGTTCAGACCCTTCAGAGATCTCTGTGAGACTTCACCAGCAACAAGACCAGCCACATTCCTGCCATCAAGGCAAACTTCAGGCAGGCCCCCAAATCACAAAGAGGAGCTACACAGCATGAGACCCTTACCTTGGTGCACTTGGACTCGCACAATAGCTACAGGTGAGGAGCCAACACCATGAGGCTGTCTACTAGGAGCACTTCCTCCAGCAGAATAGCTCACTAACAGCAGCCCAGCACTGCTGCCTTTCTCAGCTACTTCTGCCTTGCACAGTGTTCAGAGGTGGGAGAGTGAAATCTCATGAGATGATGGTGCTGCATCAGGAGATGCATGAAATCAGACTGCAGAAAGCAGGTCTCAGACTCGAAGCATAATGCTCTGAATTTCTAATCCTCACCTCAACAGATCAATGACTTGGATTAATACACACAACATACTTAACCCTATTCTGAGAAGTGATCTAACACCTCTAAATACCTTTCCATGAAACAAGTTGATGCAGAGAACTGACCCAAGCATTTTCAACTCAGTTTGTCACAGTTATTTGCAACCAATCCCACCTGCGTTAACAGAACCATGGAAGCTGGACACATTATCTATGGGTTATGCTAAACCTTCTTAGATTACAAAACACACATGGTCAAGCATGTACATAAAAAACAAAAGAAAGAAAACACAGAAGCAGGATGCAACAGAAACAGACATCTCAATGGCAGAAACAGGGCGCTGGAAGAGCACTTTGAAACTAAGAGATGTACATAAAACCAATGTCACATAACTTCACAGGGCAAGGTATTTTAAGCAACTCCAGCTGGAAAAAAATATATTCGGCAGACTGAAATACTTTATTAACCCTTGCACTCAACTTGTAAGAACAAAAAACCCTCCTAAAAATCAAGTACACCAGCTTTTAACAGTACAATAAAAAAGATTATGCAGAAACAGGCTTCTCCTCTCTCCATCCTGCCATATCTTCTAAGGTGCCCTGACACAGGAATGATGAAGGGTAAATGGGAGATGCATCTGCCCCAAAATAATACAGCAAAGCAGAACATAACTGCAAAATATTATAAAGAGTTACAAGGAAATCTTACCTGCAACATAGTCACCAAATCCAATGGTAGTTAAAGTGATAACCACAAAGTAAATCGCATCTAATGTGCTCCAGCCTTCTATGTGCTTGAATATAACTGCAGGAAGAGCAACAAACAGCACACAGCCAAACAGTATGAATATTATTGTTGAAATTATGCGAATCTTTGTCTGACTCACATTCCATTTCTGGAAACGGAAGGGGAAAAGAGAAGAAACCCATCGTTAGTAAAACTGAACTACAGTACATCAGCACCAATCAATCACCTACAATGAGCACTGGCTGCTCAAGAGCACAGCGCATTATAGCTCTCAAACAAATAAGGAAATCAAGTAGGGATTTATTTTGACAGGGTTTTCAAAGCAAACATGACTATCTGAGGAATCAATTGCATTGGGAAATACAGATCAGGGCTGGACACTTTACTGTGGCCACATTTGTGATCTGGCCAAGTTGTGTGTGGCATTCACTAATGTTAGCAGCAGATCATGCTGAAGTTTTGAGAGGAGGACAGATATTTGAGTGAGCTCCAAGTAGTGCTTGCACCTGCAATATCTCTACCTTTGGGCATCCGCAAATAACAGAATAAACCCAGTAATTTTTAACTGCACAGTTCTCTTTAATCTAGTAATTGGCTAAATAGAACCACAGAAAATAGAGTGGTAAGGGATGTGATGAGATCACCTTTTCCAAACTTGCCCCAAGACAAAATCAAACCCACCTAAGCCACTCTAGACACACTAGTGGCCAGGCAATGTGATCGTGCTCAACTGTTTTCTTAATATTTTCACTGCATCTCATCTCCTTCATTTTAAGCCTACTATTTATGGTCTTACCCAAGGCAAACAGAGCAATTGCTACTTTATTCTTTCCAGCAAACTTGTACAGGTGTTTTCTTTCAATCATATGTTCTATAGCCCAAATGCATGCTTTTATTTCAGTCTTTCTTCACCCATTTATTCTTGTTGCTTTTTGTTGACTCCAGCAAAATAATCCATGTTTCATTGTGTTGTACTCAAAGCTAGATATAACCCCATTCCCTTTGCCTATTTATTTACATTCATATTTATACTTCTAGCTATGAAGCATCATCATTTCACGGCAGTACAACATTAACCCATGTTAGCATATGAGCCCCCAGTCCTCAGAACATTTCACAGAACCTCAGAATCGTTAGTGTTGGAAGGGACCTCTGGAGATCATCCAGTCCAACCCCCTGGCAAGGCAGGGCCACCTAGAGCAGGTCATTTCCACTGTTTGCTGAAATGCAATTGCATGTTTTGTTATCCCTTCACCTGAATTTGTCCTCCTTGAATCGAATCCTGTACATTGAGACTGCTTTTTAAACTTGTCAAGATCATTTTGAATCCTGATTCTGCCTTTCAACTTTTAGTTCTGTCCCCACCTATGGATTACCTGGAGATTTAATACGCCAAACCTTTATCTGTTGTGTAAACTATTAATGTCTTCTCTTTTAAACTGTACAAAAGCTAGAACAGACCACTGCAGAATCCCATTTGACAGCCCCTGCCAATGTGACATTTTTCCCAAAGGGTTTTCCATCCATCCAAAGCATGTTGATTCAATTTAAAAGAAGCAAAGGAACATGCAACACTGGAAGCTTCCACAAAAGGAGCACAAGAATGAAATCAGACTGTTCACAATACGTATTTTCTTGTATTTTAGTGTCAATGGAAACCAATTTTTACAGTCACCAAGGTCCAGCTCTTGTAACCCAAATCACAGTAGTAGTTTGGGTTATGGCAACATGAAATTCCCTGCTCTGCCCCATTAGCATCTCCTATTAGTTCTTTTGGGGAGCTAGTAAAGAGAATAAGGGAGAGTTCCTGACTGCAACATATAGATCAGTGTTCTCATTCAGATATTGCCAACAAGTGTGCAAGATGCTACTTTTTATCTTGAGGCATTCTTGTTGTAGGAATACATCCACTATGAAAACAAGAAAAACAATTATCCCTATGAGAAGCAGGCAAAGAGACACAAATTGGTCTCTTTGGTAGTTTTCAGCAAAAGAATAAAATCTAGTTATAAAAACCAGAAAGGACAAAAATAAAATGTTCTTATGGAATGTTCTTGCTTTTTTTTTTTTTTAGACAAACCTCAATGGAAATGGGTACTATTCACCAGTACCATGTCTGGACTTGAACTGATGTTTCAAAGTCAAAAATACCTCCCTTTTCTTAAAAACCTTTCAAGCTTTTATTTACCTATTGCATGAATCTACCCAGCACAGCCTCAGTTTGCTTTGCTTCAAAAATAAAGCCATGGCAGACATTTTATATATAGTAAAGGTGTCCTGCATGCAAGATTAAGGCTTGGTGCAAAAATCCAACCCTTCTAACACTTGCAATGCTGATGCAAACCACTACAAAGCTAGGCTGCTTCTTGAGTATTCACTGGGTATGACATGTTCTACATATCAAAAGACAAATAGTATTTCATATGCCTTTTGAGCATTAGGTAACAGTTAAACCTAAAACATTTTATTGAAGGTAATAAAACACCCGAATAACTAATTTTATTCAGTTTCATTATGCCATTTATTCTATGCTTCAAAAATATCAGTAAATACATTTTTAATAACTGCATTAGTAAAATACAACCTTAATAAACTTTTCTGTGTGTGAAACAGACTGAGGAAATGAAGTTCCTCTGCTAGAATTCAAGGCATTTAAGATGGCTAGGGACAGGCTATGGCTGAGATTTATCAATACCTGCACAAGCTTCTGGTCTGTTTGACGGGTCTCTGCCTCTACTGAAGCTGGGCCATTTTGCATTAATAATTAAAGATTAGCATGAACCTCCAGGCTGTGTGAAGCAATTTAGTAGCAGAGGCTGAAAACACCTGAAACTGTAGAGTGTCTTACAGCCTAGTGAGGAGACCACACGGAGAGGCACCAACACGCTCTGTTCCACTTTGGCTGTCCTGCTTCTGTGAATGCCCAAAGCTTTAGTCACCTACAACTTGTAAATCTCAAAACATAGGTGCCTGCTTTCCTTCAGTGTGATGGCATCTGAGATTTTAAGAATTGTGATTTTAGACTCAAACACCAAATGTCTTCTGTGAATTAAAGAAACCGTTTCCACATTACCCCTGCAGTTCCTGTATTCCATCTCCCCAAGTCATCAATTTCCTATTGACTTACATGAAAACCTTTAAAGGCAAGTACTACAGCAAACTTAGGAGTACTACAAGAGCAAACCAAAGTATTTTGGATCTTCTTCCTCTTCCCAACCACACTTCTTGTAGCAAATGTTTGGCTTCACCCAGCTCTCAGAGATGCTCAGTAGCACGTTCAGACTTTGCAAAGTTCTTCCTACCTTTTGCTATGCATCTGGTCACAATGAGCAGCTATACCCTGGTTATCATACTTTTAATTTCATTTGTTAACTTCAGAACAACAAGCAGCATGAAGAACAAACGAGGCAGGCAGCATACTCACAACAAAGGTGTCTTCTACTTTGGCAATTCCTTTTCCAAAGATTGTCCCTAGTTGATCTCCAACACCAGCCAACAGAAACCCAAACAGAGGAATTCCCAGTAAGGCATAGATGATACAGAATATCTTTCCACCTTGTGTGCATGGGGAGATGTTTCCAAAGCCTAAATTACAAACAACTTGAGATGTTTAAGAAGTTACATATATTACATTACACATTTTAAATGCTCTGTAGTGTTAAAAAATAGGTCCTATTAGGTTAACCATATGGCACAGCAAACATTGTGAAAAATGAAATGAAATTGTAGGTCATAGAGTCCTCTCTGAGCTAAAATTAAACTGCTGCACAACTCACCAACTTATATGTTGTGTACTGTGGAGAACTCCGGGAGTTTTGTTTAATAAATGACAGGTTTTCTCATCTACTACATGTAGTTAATACCAATTGGTTAAGCTATGCCTTAGCCCCTGCTACCTGGAGATGTCTAATACTGGGCTTGTAATGGGAAGGCTTCAGCACTGGTAAGCAAGATACACTTTTCCTTCAGAAGTGCTCTATTTCAAAGAGAAGCAGCCTGAAAAAAACAAAGCCCTCAAAACAGGGATTTCTAGGCTAAGCAGGACTGCTCAGAGTCTTCATTTTTAAAGGCTTTGCTTCTTTCAGTGTCCCAAACAAAGCTTAGAGAAACACTTTACAGCCCTGTCCATTTGAAAGCATAAAAATCATTTTGTGTTCACTGGCTTAATATGCTTCTGATACCTCAATTGCTGCTGGTCCATTTAAGATGGAGAAACTGAAATACAAAGAGCACAGGCCCCAGCATCTGTGATACCCATCTCCCAGGATGGGTATAGTGATGATTTCACCAAGGTCACATAGGCAAAACCCCACAAATTTCACTACTCCATTTTAATTGCAAAGGTTTCCTCCTGCAAAGGATCACTCGTGCTTTGAGGGAGCAGTAGCAGTAACACACCAGCGGTTTTGACACTGTTTCACTGTTCTGCAGTCAAATGGAGAATTTGTCAGAAAAAGGTCTCTTTGCCATGGAGAAATTAAACAAAAGCTTTTGGGGTAGAACAACTGCAAACGAAAAGCAAAATATTTCAGCAACTAATGGAGAAATTTGGTTTAGTGGCTTAAATTTTGCATGAGGTGCTTCTCATTTACACAAAAATCATTCAACGAAAACCAAGTTTTCCTGTGAAAAAGCCAATGGACAAATTCTGTCATCTCTATTGAGAGCTTGCAATGTCATTTTCTTTTCAAAATACCTTAGTACTTTTGCACAATGTGACTGTAAGCTTCTACAATATAAAGCACATTTAATGAAGATCTTAGGTATTAAGTATTTGTATTAAACTGTTTTGAACATGTTGGTTTAACATTGATTTTCTTTCTGAAACTTGTAATCTCAATTCTTGGTTCTGCTATCCTGTAGGTAAACTACATCAAAGCCTTGTTTTCAAAACTCCTTCCTTTCAGTACAGAGGAGACAGAACCTGCTCCTCACTCAATTGCATTAAAATAAAAATGAATTACATTGAGAATATATTTTACTCCTATATCTATTGCCTCAACATCAGTTGACCAGATAACAGTTGTTTAAAGAATAAATGCAATGTTGATAGTGTTCAGTCAGATTACCAAAATTTAAAAACATCAGTATTAATCTTTCCCAAATAATGACTAAAGAACACTGACAAATTAAACAAAAAGCACAAAATTAGAGGAAATATCATCAGTTAACGGGTTGTGGAGTCCTCCAAATTTAAGTTTCCCCTGCCTTAATACAACAAAAAGAAAGCTTGACTCTGGCAACTGGAAAAATGTCACAGTGTCTTTAGCCCAACCTAGCACCCTTCTCTAACCCAGGCCTGAAATTACTGACCATTATAATTCAGGGATTTCAGCTCCACTGAGTTTTCTCTGTCCCTTTATGCACCAAGCAGAAAAGACCCTTGAGTTTTCAAATAAAATTAGCTTATCACCAACTAAAAAGGGACAAACAGATACAAGCTCCTCTGTTTACATAAACATGCCTGTTTATGCATCAGCAGGAGCTTAAATAGTTCCAGGGTGTAATTCCTGAGGGGTCCTAACACAATCCAGAAGCAGGGGTATGGATACACCAGGTTTATAAAACTCATACTAGGGGATTTGGGAATTGCTCTCCCCCCTCTTTTCTTTTTGTTAGGAACTGTATTCACCTCGAAGTAGTGCCTCTTAATGGTGACAAAACACATGAAGCCCACGCCAAGCAGGCAGTTTTGCCCGGTTAGCTTCATAAAGCAAATTGGCATTCTCCATGCATCCCACAGCTATTACAGAGACAACTGCTGCTGCAGCATACTTCTCATCTGCTGCTGATTGCTATGAGGACATGAAGTTCATGTTCAGCTCTATATATTCTCCTCCCTAAATCAGTCGCATCTTAGATTGGGAAAAGGATGGTACCTTACTTCTACACTCACAAATTCCTGCTTTCCAGCCTGAAAAATGAAGAATTCTCTTCCATAAGCAACAAAGGTTTTGTATTATTAATTGCACTTAACAAAAAGATCTCACACATCACTGGATAAAATAATCCTTCTCCAGCAGGTAGTAGCTTCTCTCTGTCCAGATGCTCACTGCACATAATAAACCAAGGCACTCTCATAACAGGACACGTACTTAAGTGAACTGATCTACCAAGGGCTTTCCATCACACATTAGTCATACTTCCTACAGTGTCATGGTTTAGAACAGCCTGCTGCTGTACACCACAGCCTACTTCCCAAGTTACACAGGTTGTCCTAATCTTGGTTTCTCCAGTGAAAAACCAGGAAAACCTAATCTTGGTTTCTCCAGTGAAAAGTTCATCCATCATGTATGCAATGGTAGAGGAAACATTTATATTTCATATGGTTGATATAATTGCTGAGGGTTTTATCTCAGAACAGTATTACTGCTTTCCTTTTTAAAAAATAGGGGGGGAAAATAGAGGAATTCTGATTTTAACCCAAAGAAAACTCTGTTTCAGGCACTGCATTTGGAGAGTAGCACATGGCCACAGGAATGCCACCACCTACCCCTACAAACCACACAGCTCCTTTCCACCTGCAGGGCAGGTGTATTCCTGGCACCACTGCAGCAGCTCAGTGGCATGGCATGTTCACATCAGAGTTCCCACTTCTGCTCCAGAGGATAGCATAAAGTCTGGCTATGACAGCCTTGCTCACTGAGAAGCCCTGGAGGCATCAGCTCCATCACACTATGCTCTCTGTTGCACTTCCCTCCCTCTGAGCTGCTTGCCTAGAGGGGATGGTGCACACTAATCATACAAGCAGCCTCAGTACCTCCAGTACTCTTCACATGTTCTAGTCCCATGCAGTTTTTCTCTTCCTCTACTTCTGCTAAGTGGATAGAACCAGTTGGTTCTTCATTACAACCAATACACCTGGTTCTGAACATGGACATGAAGAAAGCACTAGATTTAAACTTGCTAAATTTTTCAGCAAGTTTCCCTCAAAGACTTTTAAACCAGTGCTATCTGCAATGAGAAGCATGAAGCATAAAAACCTAATTTGCACAATGAGATCAGTTTCACCCAAGGCCACTTTCTCCTTGTACTTCTCCAAAGTGCCTTCCTCACTTCACCTTCATTACCAGGAGCATGATTTACCTCCTAGTGCCACCAAATCCCTTTCATGTCATGCTAAATGCTTAGCACATCTTTACTGCCCAAAGGACTTTGTGCATTCAAAATGCATTGTCTCTGACAGCAGCTGTGAACAAGAAATAAGTTTTGGAAGGAATCTGCAGTAACCCCTGAGTGAATTAAGAATAAAAGGCAGATTTTAGGCAGGTTGTAACTAATTGTGCCATTCAATAAAATAACATATTGCATGGTTTCGTGTCCAGAACCCTTAGAGCCTTCGAGATGAAAACTGGATACAAAGAGAAGCTCAGTCCCTTTGGTCAGCAAGGGACAGAAGAAAGGGTATGCTAAATGAAAACAACCAAACAAAACCACACACACAACCCAGAAAATAACACTGTGTAGGATTATTTTGTCTTATTTTCATGTCCTCTTTTCTGACAGATTTGAGGATGAAAGTGTAACTTACTCATTTGAAGTGGATTTGCTATCAAGCAGAAATTAGTAACTTTTATAACTACATGTATAGTACTGCTTTTGAGCAAAACAACATATGTTTGAAGTCTGGGGGGGAGGGTGCCCATGACAAACAATAGGTTTTATTGCAAATGTGGAAAAGTTTGAAATGCTAGAATTTGTCCCGCAATTGATAAGACATTCCTGTTCAGATGAGGTTCTTTGCATTCAAACCTTCATAAAAAGGAATCTTAATAATTAAGAAAAATCTCTGTTTTAAGCAGAGAAAAAGATCCTTTTGCTTTTTAGTTAACCAGTATCTCAGTCTTTCAGAAAGGTCTTTTAGAACCACACTTTCAAAGTGGAGTTTGAAGAATAAAGACTCCAAATCAGTGTTTTTCACAGAGAATTCCTAGACAAAGCAGGGCATCTGCTGAAGCAAGCTGGCTACAATTAAGTATTTCTCATGTGAGAGATTATAGGTGCTTTTGAGAGTTCTAAGACTAAATTTTACTTGCAAAATTGACTGGAAAAGAGTGTCACCACTTATGATTCATTTATATCAAATAGCTTGAGTGGGATTGAAAGGTCTGGGGAAGGTTTGAAGCGTTTTCTTTCCAAACAGGAAAATGTAAATTCAAATACCAGTAAATGTTTTCCCATTGTTTTTGACATGCTTCAGATTACACAAGAAATCATTCATCAGACAGCAAACAACATGAAAATTATAGCAAAACTTTATCATGTTTTGAGAGATGAGAAACTACTCCTGGCTGTAGGATTGGATATGGGGTCAATTGATGAAACAGGTCAATACTGAAAGATGAATAATTCGGTGAACAAGCACACTCTTAATTACATGAAAATGGATTAGAGAAACTTGATACTAAGAAGATTGTAGAGGCTCAGAGGAAAGGCTCAGCTCCCGGCTGCTGAATCCCATGAGGCCAGAGCTGGGTGAAACAGCTCCATGCCCTTGGCTTCAGCCACCAGATGCTGTGTAACTGGTGGCAGCACTGCTGCAGATTCACACCCACCTGGACTAGGCAGCTCAATTACAGTGACTA